GGAGAGAAGAGGGAGCAAAGGAGGGGGTGGTTCAAAACGGCAGCGTGGTATGGAGCCTGCTTGGGACTCCCCCGCTAAGCCCAGGCTCCATGCAGCGCTCCCGCTTTGAAATGCTGTGTGCAGCCTGGCGCCGGGCTCCTTGCAGCATTTCAAAGAGGCAGCGCCTCATGGAGCCTGCCTGGGACTCCCCAGCTAAGCCCAGGCTCCATGCAGCGCTCCCGCTTTGAAATGCTGTGTGCAGCCTGGCGCCGGGCTCCTTGCAGCATTTCAAAGAGGCAGCGCCTCATGGAGCCCAGGATGAGCTGGAGACTCAGCTCACACCAGGCTCTATGTGGTGCTGCCACTTTGAAACGTTGCAGGGAACACAGGGCCAGCGGGGGACTCTTCTCCATCCCCCCCCCCATTTCAATAGGTCAAGGATGACTATGTCCCATTAGAGCAGACATGAATGTATTCCACCTGACAAGTGAAAACTGAAGAGGATTTGTCAATGTAAAATATATAATTAAAGCAATAACTCTGGATTTTCTGTTGTTAATGCAGTTTCATTCCCATTGGAGTGTGTGCAGGTGGGTAGTGTGGGGCAGAGTTAGACCAGGGGGTTGGGAGTGTGGGAGGCTTGGGGTAGGGGAATGGTGCATGAGTCGGTGCTGGGGGTGAAGATGAAAGAGTGAGGAGACCTGGGGTCAGATAACTTTACCTGGCCACAAAGGAGCTGTGTGAGGGCACTGCTTCAGGGAAATCAGCAGCAGTGTGAGAAATCCCCTGGCTTTTTTCCAGGGACTGTTGGCTACAGCACAAGTAAGGGATGTCACGTACACTGCCCACTGCATGGCTCCCCTACAGCACACTGCCAGCTGACCCCTTTAATGTGTCTTCATTGCTGCTGCCTCACCTGGCTGTAAGCCAGGCTGGGAGAGCGCATCATAAACTGCACCCCAGCTGGCTACTTTAACAGCAAACTCTGGCTTTTTAAAGGTCCCAATTTAGGTATTGTTTTAATGAATAGAAATGTCACTTTTTAAATTGTTACAATGAGAGTTTTTAGCCCCCAGCTGCAGTATTGTGAACCCAATTACAGTTGTGTTGGAAAAGGGGAGATAGATAAACCCAACTGAAAAGAGACAAGTCTGCCAGCTCTAGCTCTGTGCCATGTGCAGAAATAAAACCGCCTTCTTGTAGGAACAGTCTAGGAGTGCTCCTAGTGTTCCCAGGTTACTTTCAGGCACATGAAAGAGTTTAAGGTGGCAACTTACCTGGCTAGTGTTGGTTCCTAGGTGGCTTAGTAGGCTGTGCCCTTGTGGGGTGCTGAAAGGTGGGCTGTGGCTTTGCATAGGGAGAGTTGGGAAAGCTGGAGAATGAAAGAAATGGCCATCCTTATTTTCATCTCTGCTTTCCCTCCACATCAGCCAGTTCTTTTTAGGATGTAGAACCAGAAAGTGTTTTAACCTCCCTTTTAAAACTGGACAGTCTCGGCACCAAAGGATAAATGAGCACAAATCAGACATGAGGAACGGTAACACACACAAACATGTAGGGGAACACTTTAACATTCCTGGATATTCAGTAAAGGATTTAAAAGTAGGGATGTTAGCATGTAGACAACTACATGATTAAATGATAAAATGTGGGCTTATTGGTTAATTCTGTCGACTACATGCACTCCACCCCCTGTGCCCCCCGCATGCTATCTCTTTATCAGAGGCAGCAAGAGGGGGGAGATGGGGATGTCTGTGGGGAGCCAGCTTTAAGCCTCCCCATGAGTACTGGATCTGCCTGCCCCCCCCACTTCCTCCTCGCTGATGCCTCTGATAGAGAGAAAGCAGCGTGGAGGGTGAGGGGAGCAGGAGGAGCCAAAATGCATGGGGAGCTGATTTTTAAGTGGCTCTCTGCACTTGCCAGCTCTGTAAACCCCTCTGCCCCCACTTGCTGCTTCCTACAGAGTAGGACCCACCTGCCCCTACTTCCTGTTTCTCCACAAGCACAGGCAGCGGCAGAGCTTAAAAGCCAGCTCTTCCCCAGCACTGGCTCCATAAGTCTATTCTCTATTCTACTTCAACATTACTCATCTCTCCCGAACCCATCCTATACATGTTTTCTTTGGAGCTTACTCCAAAATTAAGTGCACAGCGTGCACTCTAGCTTTTTTGGTAACTTGGAATCAGATCTGCATCAAAATGACAGTGGAGTGGGGAAGATGAGAGCTATCTGTAGACGTTTTAAGGACACCATATTTTTAGTATTCTGAGGATGTCTGGTAGAGTTAATAAAATTTTAAAATATAAAAAAGTTTAAGGAAAGCTGTCAGCCGGCAACTCAGGAGACTGCTCAAATGCAAATGTGAAACATTTATGCAATATTTAAGATTTAGTTTAATAATATGTGTAATTGTGTTTCCGTTCATGATTTAAGTTCTTACTATTCCTAATGCTTCTGCAGCACGCCATAGATAATGAGTATCCTATTCTATTTCCTAACTTAACTTGATTTTTATTATCTAAACATTTTTAGGAAATATTCCTGCTTAGATTATGTAAAATCCTGTACCAAGTTGTAAATTAACAGTTTTAGTAATCAGCTTTGCACTGTTGTTTGAAGAAATACGTAAAGAAGTATCAATGGTAAACTTGATTCAAATCACATTTTTTTGTGATATAAATCAGTCCACTTCGATTGTCATGAACCTGTACAAAGTCACATTGATTTAATTAGGATACCATAGGTGTAGAAGAATATGATAGTGGATCCTGATGCAGGATTGTGGCCTTAGAAAAATAGTGTCTCATTGCATATCAGAACATGATATGACTACTAGAGGCTTCTTATTGCTCACGCTACTTGAATCCCAGAGAGGTCTCAGTGGCAAGTCATGCTTTGAAAGGTTAAATAGTACTTCTGCCCTTTTATTTTGTTCCTGTGTAGTAAACCTGGGGGAACAAAGGGGAAGGATAAACTGTTTTATAAGGATTTGTATAAATTCTTACTTCTGAACCTATTTTTTTTCTTTTTGTTTCCAGAATATTTCTATGCATATTTAGTTTATATAAAGAAATGACCACACAGGTAAATACACAGAAATAATTAAACTAGTTTTTCTAGTTTGACTTTTGACTGTTTCTGTAACATTAATGTTCATTTTAATTTCAGTACAGTATTCTCTTCAAGCAAGAACAAGGTAAGGAGATATTAACATTGTGCTGTTAATTTTTCTTACCTAAAATATTTACTACTTTGGATGATATAAAATGAGCACTAACAGATTTATGAGATGTTTCGCATTGCATTCTCACGGAGTCTAAAATGTAAGTGATCATAGTAAATAAAATCTGATTTAATGCTGCATGGGCATGGTCAGAAGCACTCCAAAGTCAACAAAGGGACTCCTGTTGACTTCAGTGGGCTGTATTTCAGGCTATATGAGGACATTTCCAATTGAAGTTATTTTTTGGTAGGCTGTTTAAGGTGTACTTGCGAATGCGTGGATTCATAGGCAAGCCCGTGATCTATTAGGTTGTTTACTATGACCATGGCCACCTGGATTATATGGATTCTACAGTATGTGCCACAAAATCTTGCAGCAATCTCCTGTGGTTTGATGAGTGACAGTACTAGACACCACGAATTTCTTCCCTGACAGCTTTTCTGTTGTAATTATGAATTGTGAATACAAACATCTGCATCACGTTTGATTTACTGTCTCCCTAGATTTATAACAACGAAAATGATACTGATTTTTGTTTTTGAATCTAATTGTTTTTAATAAATCTCCCTGGTTTTTGTTTTTTTAAGTTATCTGAACCTGACACAGAATTTCCAGAAACTTTGCTGCAGAATTTAGGTCCAGCTGGCTACATGGATTAGACTGTGTAGAGAAGTCCATTATGACTGCTGTCAGAAACTATGCTTGCTAGCAACTTTACATTCTGTTTTTTCTATTTCATGGATATGTTCTCAGTATGACATAAAAATTGTCACAGTGGGGTAGCCGTTTTAGTCTGTAAGGGCATGTCTACACAGCAGGGCTAAAGCTGAAATAAGCTACATAACTTGAGCTACGTCAATTGCATAGCTTAAGTCGAAATAGCTTATTTCGGCTTTTGGTGCTTTCTACACAGAAGGAAGTCCTAGTTAGAGCATACTTTCTCTTACTCCTCATAAAATGAGGGTTACAGGAGTCAGAGAAAGCAGTCCTCCAGCTCGACATTTTTTCAGCATTATGTTGAAATAACTGTTTGCTGTGTAGACACGAATTATGTTCTGTGCGGCTGTGTAGACATAGCCTAACTGAAAGCTCATGATACCATCTACATTTTTGTTAGTCTCTAAGGTGCTATAGAACCATGTGTTTGTTTTTTAAGTTTTTTTTTTCATAAGAATTATAGGTGAGAGAGGAAGGTACTGTTAATTCTGCATATTAATTGGTGCTTTTTTTCTTACCTAAAATCATGAAGTAAGATTAAACAACTTCTGTGGGTAAACATGCCTACTTGATTCCAAGAAACATTGTTGTTTTCTTTCTAATATTTGTGCTCTTTTCTAGCACATGATGATGCTATCTGGTCAGTTGCATGGGGAAAGAATAAAAGAGATGGTTCTGAAACGGTAATCTCTGGATCTTTAGATGATTTAGTGAAGGTCTGGAAATGGTAAGTGAGGGATTTGATAAACATTGATTAAATTGATTAACAATTGGAAAAACAGTGTCTTTCCACACTTGTTTATAACATTCTGTCCTTTATCTCCCAAAATATCAGATGCACAGTGAGTAGCAGAGCACATTGCTTTGCTAAAATGGGGGCGAGGGCTGGGGAAACAAACTGAAAAAAAGTTGAGTATTGCTATGCACAAACTGTCTGCTTTCACTGACCTGCAGTCATTTATCCCCTTTTGCTATGCAAAAGGTAAGAAGTGCTTAAAAAAAAGAGGGGGAGAGCTGGAGGTGGGCGCAATACCTGAAATGACTCTTACTTAGTTTGTTTTTGTTTGTGTTTTTAACAAAAGGACCGATGAAAAATTAGATCTACAATGGACTTTAGAGGGCCATCAACTGGGTGTGGTATCAGTAGATATCAGTCATACAGGTACCATTGCAGCATCCAGTTCCCTAGATGCTCATATTCGTCTTTGGGATTTAGAAACTGGCAAACAGATCAAGTCCATAGATGCTGGTCCTGGTAAGATATTGGTGCTAATTTGATTATTTATAATCTCTGCAATGTTTGTATTTATACAGCAGGATGGATTGATTTAAATCGAAGCAATTGTAAATAATTGATTTAAATCACCCCCCCAAAAAATTACAGATTTAAATCAAGTTACCAAAAAAGCTAAGACTATGCTTAGAATGCACTTAATTTTGGAGTAAATCCCAGTGAACTCACTGGCACATTTGTTTTCTCAAAAAACAGGTATAGGATGGGGTTCCCTTCGGAAAGCTGAGTTATGCTGAAGTAGAATAGGGAATAGATTTTTACTCCCAGTGAACTCACTGGCACATTTGTTTTCTCAAAAAACAGGTATAGGATGGGGTTCCCTTCGGAAAGCTGAGTTATGCTGAAGTAGAATAGGGAATAGATGACCCAAGATAAGGGTGTATTAGGTAATATAAAATAAGAAAATTACACTCAGTGGCAACTGGCAACTCTAGATTTCTCTTACTGCAGCTTTCTGTATTGCATACTTAAGTGATAGAGTCTAAGCCTAGTTAACTAATTAAACAAGCCATAAGGGTTAGTGAAGCTAAACTTTTTGTTCTAGCAACATCCAATATAGCAAACAACTTGGGGATTTACTTGCCATATCACATTTATACTAAAAGTCAAAGAGAGAGTTTTGAAGAATGATGCGTCGCAAAGTGAATTATTTAAGTTACTTACCAGTTGATTCACTCAGCCATATCCACATCTTCCTCCACATTCTTTTCTCCCAATAAGCAGTTTTCCTTTGATGTTTCATTCTTGCAACTAGGACCTGCATCATCTTCTTTCACTGCTTACACTTGACATGTTTTCCTTTTTTTTTTTTTTTTTGTGTAACCAAGGAATGAATTTCTTCAACATATTCCCAAATAAGGTCTCTCTTTACACCCAGAAGCCATGACAGTTATTCTGTGGCAAAAGTATGGAAAAATATAGGAAGCTGTGTGTGAGTTGAATAATGTCTTCCCATTTTTTTCCATGGTTCCTTTCTATACTGCTTTCATCCTTTCCTATATATTGTTTCTTTGTCTTTAAGACAACGCCTTAACTAACTTCTCTGCTATTTTGGCCCAGGTCCAATGCCACTTAAGCACAGGACAAAAATCAACCCTATCCAGCTTGTGTCTTTCTTTGCACATGTTATTCTGCTGAGAAACAGAAATTGAAAGCCAAGAACTTTCAAGAAGCAAGAGCTGGTAGTTAGGCTGGACAGACTAGAGCAGGGGTGGGCACAAATTTCTGAATTGGCCCTGGGCCACCCCTGAAGGGATGGGGCCTTGGGAGGAAGGGGCAGGGCCAGGACGCTTTCTGTGCTCCCCTGCTCACAGACCCTGATTGGCCTGGGATTGGAGGAAGTGCACAATGTCTTTGCTCCCCATCCCCTTGGCACCTAGAGAGGTTTTTAACAGCTAGCGGTTCACTCTAGGTGTCGTGCGCCCATGGTGGCTGGAGGAGACTTCACAGGCTCCCAGGCCAATCAGGGCCTGAGAGTTTAGGAGCACGCAAAGTCTCTCGCCCCCGCCCTGTAAAGTCTAGAGAGAACAGCTGGTGGTTCCCTTCTTTGCCACACACCCCTGGTGGGGAGAGATTTTGTGTACTCCTCCGTCCCCAGGCCTCAGTTTGGGGGTAGGGGAGTGGTAGGGTGGCCACACCTTCTTTGCCACACACCCCTGGTGGGGGGAGATTTTGTGTGCTCCTCCGTCCCCAGGCCTCGGTTTGGGGGTAGGGGAGTGGTAGGGCGGCCACGGGCAGGATCAGCCAGCTTAGTGGGCTGGATATGAACTGCAGAGGCTTTCTTGTCCACTCCTGGACTAGACCTATGAATTCATTTTTTGTGAGGCTGTAAGTGTAGGTGTACCATACTTGTGTTGAGATTTAATTGCAACTGTTAATTTTAAATTAGAAATTTAGTATTTTTATTTAAAAAAAATAAAATATCCGATTGAATTTAAATAATTGATTTTTATCCACCCTTTTATACAGTACAGTAGAGACCTAATACATTACCTAGGAGTAATTTAGCTCTTTCATAGTGACACAATGGTTTCCTTCCTTTTGCAAAATAATGACATGGAATTGATGGGCATTCACTTGCATACACTTTACCAATTCAATTCAAACTATATTGGTATAAGCTAGTGTTAAATTGATGTTTGTCTATTTAGGTTTGCCCTGATAGCAGTCTATTTAAAAACTGATTTTAGTTAAACTAGAACAACTTCTGGATGGTGACAAGGCCTTCATGTAATCCTGTGGGCATTACTTAGTGCCTCATTAAAGTTCTGAATTGCACTAAAATTCAACTTTTTGTTGAGGAATCATAAGGCAAAATAGAATTCAGTTACTTTTTAGGTGTAATAATCAGAAAGTCTAGTGGTGACCAAAAAATCCCCAAAACCCTATTCAAATACAAAATGATGGCTAAGATTTGTATACTGAAAAGTGCCCAGGTTTTTTGCAGCTGCACTTTGAAACTCAGTACCATGCAGAGGGTGCTTGTTTTTGGAATGCCTATTTACGTCCAATGGTGCAAATCAAAACAAATAAGATCTAAATCGGGGGTGGGGAACCTCAGGCCCAGGGGCTGGATGTGGCCCCCAGTTTGCCTGGATCTAGCCCCTGAGGCTCATTATTTGGGAGCCTGTGCTGGCGCTCCAGCCTCCCAGCCACTCACCCGCAGGGCTGGAGCACACAGAATCTACCCCTAAGCTCTGGCATGCAAGGAGAATGTGAGGAGTGTCTTTCTTCTTCTCATTCAGGGGCTTCTCACTTGTGTGCGACTCCTGACAGATTTTACTGTGGATCAGCAGCCCCAGACCCAAAAAAGTCTAGATGAACCTTTATAAGTCAGCAGCCCCAGACCCAAAAAAGTTTCCCCATTTCTGGTCTAGATGAACCTTTATATGCATTGCATTCCAATTTTGAGAGCACAAGATTTGAACTAAAGGAGTTAAATATTAAAATAAAGAATGTTGGTAGACCAACCTGACAGGGTCGGAGAGTGAATGACTGTGCACATATATTATTCATCTGTGAGAGACACATCACCATGCTAAGTAGATAACTGTAAAAGTCACTATGTAATTCTATTTCAATGAATGATCTGCTGTGCACTCTTCCCTTCTGCTGTACGTGCTTTCCATCTCTGTTGCTGTGTCAGATCTTGAGTGCTGCTTCTTACAAAGGCAATTCAAGCAAATAAGGGGATTTTTGTTTTTTAAAGGCAGTGATTGCTAATATTATTTAACAGAATTAGTGTTCTGCTTTCAAGAGGGGAGGCCAAGATCTTCCTGGAAAATGTTATGTGTGATTATGTTGAAAAACAAACACCTTAAGCATTGATTGTTAGCTTGGTGTGAATTTAACTTTTGTGGCTGAAGTGTAGAGTAAAAAATTACCTGTGAACAGATATTAAGTATACCAAATATTTTTTTTTCCTTTTTGTACAGTTGATGCCTGGTCATTGGCCTTTTCACCAGATTCCCAGTATCTTGCAACAGGAAGTCATGTGGGAAAAGTAAACATTTTTGGTGTAGAAAGTGGAAAAAAGGAATATTCTCTGGACACTAGAGGGAAATTCATCCTTAGCATTGCATACGTAAGAACTTAATCACTCATTTTCTAATACTGTATTCACAACCTTAACAGAAACCTTTATTTAAAAAAAAAACCACAGACTTCCTACCCGCCTATTCGCTCTTACACGGTAACCTGCTAAACAGGGGTGTACGATAGTTTTTGCAGGGAGAGGCCACTCCAAGAATTTTGATAAGTGGTTACAGGGTGCACTTTTCTGTTATGTTAAGGAGGGAGTATGGAGTCTGTGATGGAGTTGGAGCAGGAATTGGGGTGCAGGCTCTGGGAGGGAGTCTGGGTGCAGGAGGGAATTCTTACTTGGGGTAGGGATGTGGGGGAGATCTGTGAGAGAGTTGGACACAGGAGGGGGTTGTGATCTGGGGCAGGGGTTGGTGTGCAGGAGGGAATGCCAGATGCTGGTTCTGGCTAGGAGATGCTTACCAGTATAGGTGGTTCCCACCTGCCAATGCAGCGGGACACTCCTAGGCTGCCTGCATGCATAGTAGGCCCGTGCGGGACACTCCTAGGCTGCCTGCATGCATGCATAGTAGGCCTGTGTCTTTTAGAGTTGCTGGCTGCTGCTGGCAAGCGTGTCTCTCCATGTCCTTTGAACAGAGGAACAGTGGGTCTCCACACACATTGTGAATGCCCACAAATACCACCTTTACAGTGCCTACTGGCCAGTTTCTGGCAAGTGGAAGGTGTGAGGATGGTGCGGGGGGCAGTGTATGAAGACCTGCTGCCCTTTTGCATCCCTTTGGTGGGACACAGAAATACTTGCCAGCAGCCTTCAGCTTTGGCACTTCTAGGAGCAGTGTGACCGGGGCCATGACAGGCAAGCAGACTGGGCAAGGGGTCATGGAGGGCAAGAGGAAAATGTTTGGTGGTCCAAATCCAGCTGTTGGATATATTTTGCCCACGCCTGTTTCTAAAGCAAGCATTTTATTTCTGCCTATAATTGTCATTGGCCTTTCCTGTTGAATAATGGTCCTTTGCTCCAGCTTCACTGATGAATTGGACCAGCCTCAAAAGCAATACAAGCTTTCTATAAATGCTCTTACTCTTCCAGCAAGAATATCAGGCCATTACAGGTACCAATTCAATCTCAGAATTCTACTTTAGGAGGTAACTTTATCGTTGGCAAAACTGAGGTACAGTAAGTTTAAACAACTTCCTAGGAGACACCCACTATTGACTGTAAATTATTACAATAAAAAATCCCCCGTTGTTTTACATGTGAATGAATGCTATATGATAGTTTTCACACTGCATGATGTCTGTCTGGCTGATTCTTTTATTGTCTGGAAAAGTCACTCCTGCTCTTGATCATGTGCTTATTATGATTTTCAATCTGAGGTCTTTGGATTTTTTTCTGAGCCTACCATACCAAATATTGCAGATTGTTTTGATGTTACTTTGTCTTCCCTATTCTTCTGTTTCCAAATAAGAGTAGTTATAAAATGTGTAATAAGAGTAGTTATAAAATTGAATTGAATTGGTGTATTGTTATAGAGCCCAGATGGAAAATATTTAGCCAGTGGAGCAATAGATGGCATCATCAATATTTTTGATATTGCAACTGGAAAACTTCTGCATACGCTAGAAGGTAAGTCTTGGAATGTTTGCAGTGTGTAAGATATAGCTTTAGTTCTGTCAGGTTAGTTTGAAGGTTCACTTGCAAGCTTACACAGATGGATAAGTCTCCAAGCAAGTTCAAGTATATCTGTGCTTTGATTTTGGCACCATCGTTCTTATGGTTCTAAATACGAACTATGTGAGGGATCCACTTGTAAATCCTAAGCATGCACCATGGATATATCTTCCAATGCATAGCCATTTATGCTTAACTAGATTCTTCCGAACAAATCACAGTTTAACCAGTGCTAGCAAATGAAGCTGGTCTGTCAGTGCTATGTTACTCCTCCTACCCACCCCTCCCTGCTTGTATTGCTATAAAAAAATCAGTTCCCAGGACTAGAGGAATGGAACATTTTCCCTCTTGTTATATTACATTGCAACACTCTAACAGGGATGAAGAGATTAATTCATTCATGCAAAATTCTTTTTAGGTTTTTTTTAACATGTTGTCTAAGACTATATTTAAAGATAAATGACACGCAGAGCATATGATTTCAGATGCCATGGTGCTGATTTTTTTCTGTAGTTCTTCTAAGATCCATAGCTCTAAAAATGTGATAGTCCCTGTGTGGAAGAGAAAATGCTCTGCCTTGAGGGAGATTAATCTGAATCCTCCAGATTGCTGATGCACTTACACCGACTGTATTAAGAAGAGTTTTGGGAGGCAAAGGAGGAAGTAGCCTAAGAATGAGGAGCTTAACAATTGTTCAGATATGTAAATTGAAAAGTATCTCCTTGCTTTCTGTCTCTTTTTTTTAAAGGAAGAGATTATCCTAGTGTAACAATTGAAAAGTATCTCCTTGCTTTCTGTCGCTTTTTTAAAAGGAAGATATTATCCTAGTATAAATGCTCTTTAATATTCTTCTTACCAATGATAGTGTATTTACAAATCAACCATGTCTATTTTGAATTTCAGGCCATGCAATGCCTATTCGCTCACTTACATTTTCTCCAGATTCCCAGCTACTTGTTACAGCTTCAGATGATGGATATATCAAAATCTATGATGTGTAAGTTGTTTTTCTTTCATAAGACACATGTGATGTAAGACTAATATTCTAAGAGGTTATAATTTTCCAGAACAAACCAAATATTCTGCTGTATGGAATTATATTTAACAGGGTAGTCAAATACCTAATTTTCAAAATTATCCTATATTTTAAACTTGAAAACCCTAAATCCTGTGAACTTGGACTCTTTTTAAAAGGTGCAGGGGTGGATGTCAGACCTGGCTCAGAAAATTGATGCCCACTTACCATAGTTGGTATTTCAGTAAACCTACAAGCTGCATTCTTATTCTGCATATTTTTTCGGTCCACCTTTGAGTTTCTGCTTCATGCCCAAGATATCCTTCCCTCATTCATTCTTTGTTCTCACACTCCACTGAAGCCTGGGGCTCTCTCCCTATTGCTCCTGCCTTTTATGACTCTCTGCGGCAATATGGTCTTCCTGCTGTCTGGGCTTTCTTTGATTTCCTCCAGTCTTTTGTTCTTTTTCTCAAAACCACTACCTACCATTTGCAATCTAAGTCAGAAGTATTTTATGCTCCAATCCTAGGCCTTGTTAGTTCAAGCACCTGATTATTATCTTCAGTGGGGAGAGGTTTTGTGTCAAATGCACCTGATTATTATCTTCAGTGGGGAGAGGTTTTGTCTCAACTATTATCTAAACCCCCAAGATCTTTAGAACCTAAAGTCAGTGCCTTGATCTACAGCAGGAGTGGGCAATAATTTTGATGAGGGGGCCACTTTAAGATTTTGGGAAGTGGTCACGGTCTGCATTTTTCTATAGAGCAGGTTCAAGGTCTGGTATAGAGGTTGGCTGCAGAAGGGGGCTCAGGGTAGGTGACTGGAGTGCAGGAGAGGGCATGGGGTTTGAGAGGGAGTTTGGGTGAAGGAAGAGATTGTGATCTGGGGCAGTGTATTGGAGCGTAGAGTCCAGGAGAGAGTATGGGTGCAGGAGAGAATTGTGGCCTAGGAAGGGACCGTAGGAGGGGGTGCAGGGTCTGGGAGGAAGCTGTGACCTCGGAGAGGAGGGGTTATAGAGAGTTTTGGTGGTGACCTGGAGCCAAGAGGGGGTGGGTGCCAGAGGTAGGCTCTGGCTGGGAGGTACCTACTTAGGTAGCTGCCTGCCAGCAGCCCCAGACCGCTCAAACTGGCTGTCTGCTCCCTATGGCTCTCTGCTCAAGGCACTGGGGAGAGGGCGGGCGGAGCTTCGTGCGTTGTCCCTACCCCCAGTGCAATCTTTCAGGACTTATTGGCCAGCCAGTAGGAGCTGAGAAATTGTGCTGCCCCCTCCCTAGCATGTGAAGTCTCACACAGTGCCCAGAGCAGAGCTACAGGGATCAGCTAGTTGCTTAAAGTGGCATGGGGCTGCTCTATGCCTGAGGGTCCTAACGGGGTGGCAGTGGACCAGATCTGGTAGCTTAATGGGTTGGATCCAGCTCATGGGCCACATCTTAACAGGCCTGATCTATAGCCTGATATGAATAGAAAATTAGTGCACGTATTCGATAACTAGCATAACAGGGTTTCGTCAACTAACATCACCTAATGGGTGGGCTGCTGTATTTTTTATTCACTGTAGCTGCTGAAAGTATATCTCTATAGAAGGAATCAGAACTGGAAGGGACTTCAAAAGCTCATAGAGTCTAGGCCCCTGCCCGCACTGTCTACTCTAGATCATCCCTAACAGGTGTCTGTCTAACCTGCTCTTAAATATCTTCAGTGATGGAGATTCCACAACTTCCCTATACAATTTATTCCAGTGTTTAACCATCCTGACAGGAAGTTCTTCCTAATGTCCAACCTAAATCTCCCTTGCTGCAGTTTAAACCCATTGCTTCTTGTCCTATCCTCAGAAACCAAGGAGAACAATTTTTTCCCCTTCTCTTTATAACACCCTTTTAGATACTTGAAAACTGCTATCATGTCTTCCCTCAGTCTTCTCTTTTCTAAACTAAACAAGCAGAGTTATTTAAGTTTTCCCTTATAGCTCATGTTTTCTAGTCTTCTCTTTTCTAAACTAAACAAGCAGAGTTCTTTAAGTTTTCCCTTATAGCTCATGTTTTCTAGACCTTTATTCATTTTTGTTGCTTTTTTTGCAACAGCGTCACACTGTTGGCTCATATTTAGCTTGTAGTACACTATGACCCCTAGATTGCTTTCTGTAGTACTCCTTCCTAGACCGTCGCTTCCCATTCTATATGTGTGAAACTGATTGTTCCTTCGTAAGTGGAGTCCTTTGCATTTGTCCTTATTAAACTGCATCCTATTTACCTCAGACCATTTCTCTAGTTTGTTCCGATTATTGTTAATTTTGACCCTATCCTCCAAAGCACTTGCAACCCTTCCCAGCTTGGTGTCCTCTGCAAACTTAATAATTGCACTCTCTATACCATCATCTAAATCATTGATGAAGATATTGAATGGAATCAGTCCCAAAACAGACTCCTGTGGAACCCCACTTGTTATGCCCTTCCAGCATAATTGTGAACCATTAATAACTACTCTCTGATAACAGTTATCCATCCACCTTATAGTAGACCCATCTAAGTTGCATTTCCCTAGTTTATTGATAAGAAGGTCATGCGAGGCTGTAGTAAATGTCTTTGAAATTCTCGGTATACCACATCCACTGCTTCTCCCTTAGCTACAAAGTTTGCTATCCTATCAAAGAAAGCTGTCAGATTGGTTTGACATGATGAATCTTGCAACAATTGACTCTAGAAATGATAGTCCTGGATTACTGTGGAAAGGTCCAGATCCAAAATTAAAGATTGCAAGTGCTAAGATAAAAAACGAGAGATTTTTTTCCCTAAGGTTGTTGAAACAATCAAGAATCCAAATGTATCTCCAAGTTACAAAACACTTGAGTAAAGAATAGATTAATCCCTTCAATAACTGAGGCAAAACCCACTCCTGTAATTTCTTCAAGATCCTTTTCTAGCCTACCATTATTTATTTGTCTTAAGGGAGCTTGTAAGAACATAAGTCATGGATCAGGATTTTATAGTGCTAGCCACTGTACAGACAAATAGCAATGAAGATAATCATCAGAATTTCTATCTGAATTGAGAGCAACCAGGTAACTTTTCATGTAAGTCCCAATCTCTAACAAAGAATAAGGAAGTGTATACATAGCACTCTGATGAAAATAAGAGTGTGTCAAGTGTATAATGTACTAACTGTTTTTCAGATTGAATTGCTTCTACAGTGCTTTTATATCTATGCTTACCAGGAAAAGTGGCAGGATAGGAATCCAAAGAGCATTTAGCAATTTTCTAAAAACTAGTGGTAGAAAAAGTAGCCAAAAAAGTTACTTGAGGAAAAGGGCTGCTACTTTGAAAAAAATCAGAGGGGTAGCCGTGTTAGTCTGAATCTGCAAAAGCGGCGAGGAGTCCTGTTAGTCTATAAGGTACCACAGAAGTGTTGGAGCATGAAGAGGGTCTGTGCCACAGGACTCCTCGCCGCTTTTGAAAAAAATGTAATTAAGTAAAAGTCTGGAAAACTACTTGAGTAAAAGTACAACAGTAATGCATCTTAATTGTACTCAAGCATCCAGAAATAAAAAGTAGCCATTCTATTCATAGAATCATAGAACCATAGAGCTGGAAGAGACCTCAGAAGGTCATCAAGTCCAGCCCCCTGCTCTAGGCAGGACCGATCCCAACTAAATCAATCCGGCCAGGGCTTTTGTCAAGCCGAGACTCTAGGGATGGAGACTCCACTACTTCCCTAGGTAACCCATTCCAGTGCTTCATTACCCTCCTAGTGAAATAGTTTTCCCTAATATCCAACCTGGACCTCTCCCCCCACAACTTGAGACCATTGCTCCTTGTTCTGCCATCTGTCACTACTGAGAACAGCCTCTTTTCATTCTCTTTGGAACCTCCCTTCAGGAAGTTGAAGGCTGCTATCAAATCCCCCCTCACTCTTTGCCTTCTGCAGACTAAACAGACCCAAGTCCCTCAGCCTCTCCTCATAGGTCATATGGTCCAGCCCCCTAATCATTTTGGTTGCCCTCCGCTGGACCCTCTCCAATGCATCCACATCCTTTTTGTAGTGGGGGGCCCAGAACTGGACACAGTACTCCAGATGTGGCCTCACCAAAGCCGAATAAAGGGGAATAATGACATCTCTGGATCTGCTGGCAATGCTCCTCTTAATGCAACCTAATATGCCATTAGCCTTCTTGGCTACAAGGGCACACTGTTGACTCATATCTAGCTTCTCATCCACTGTAACCCCCAGGTCCTTTTCTGCAGAACTACTACTTAGCTGGTTGGTCCCCAGCCTGTAACAATGCTTGGGATTCTTCCGTCCCAAGTGCAGGACTCTACACTTGTCCTTGTTGAATCTCATCAGATTCTTGTGGCCCAATCCTTCAATTTGTCTAAGTCACTCTGGACCCTATCTCTGCCCTCCAGCGTATCTACCTCTCCCCCTAGCTTAGTGTCATCCGCAAACTTGCTGAGGGTGCAATCCATCCCCTCATCCAGGTCATTAATAAAGATATTGAACAAAACCAGTCTGTGAGGGGGTTCACTCACCAACCGTAGCCCCCTTGCCGTCTGTCCTCAGGAATTGGCTCCCTCGGCGGGTATGGTGCCTTCTCTGAGGTGGTGTTTCCCCTCTTTACTCCGGGCCGCGGCGTCCTCTTCGCCACACTGCCCTCCGGCAGTGCCCAAGTCCGTCTCTGAGCCCCCCTTCCAGGGGTAGTTGTTCCTTCATCGGGTCTTCCTTCAAGCCCTGCAGTCTGGAGACTTGCTGGCCAGAGCTCCCTCCTGGCCTCCCCAGCCCTGCCCTCTGTTATAGCTCCCAGCTGGGCCCTAATGAACTACTACAGGCTCAGCTGGGGCTAAACTCCCCGGCCCTGCTTCAGGCTGGGGTTTGCCCTTAAAGGGCCAGTGCAGGGCAAATGCCCTGTCACACAGTCCAAGAACCGAACTTTGGAACACTCTGCTAGAAACCGACCGCCATCTTGACATCGAGCTGTTAATCACTATCCGCTGGGCCCAGCCTTCTAGCCATCTTTCTATCCATCTTACCGTCCATTTATCCAATCCACATTCCTTTCACTTGCTGGCAAAAATATTGTGGGAGACCGTATCAAAAGCCTTGCTAAAGTCAAGGTATATCACATCCACTGACTTTCCCATCTCCACAGAGCCAGTTACCTCATCATAGAAGCTAATCAGATTAGTCAGGCACAACTTTCCCTTTGTGAATCCATGCTGACTATTCCTAATCACTTTCCTCTTTTCCAAGTGCCTCAAAATGGATTCCTTAAGGATCCCTTCCATGATTTGTATAGGAACCTAAACTGACCGGCCTATAGTTCCCTGGATTGTCCTTCTTCCCTTTTTTGAATATGGGCACTACATTTGCCTTTTTCCATTCATCTGGGATTTCTCCTGATCTCCACAACTTTTCAATGATAATAGCCAAAGGCTCCTCAATGACATTTGCCAACTGCCTCAGTACCCTCAGATGCATTAAGTCCGGACCCATGGATTTGTGTATGTTTAGCTTTTCTAAATAGTTCCTAACCTGTTCTTGACCCACCAAGGGCTGTCCATCTTCATCTCATCTTGCGTCACTTAGCACATTTGTCCGGGAGCCCACCTTGTCCATGAATTCTTGGATCCTTCTTCCCAGTGCTACATAATCCACAGTAGCCTGCTCAAGGTCATTCTTGGCCGTATCATTAGTTCCCACGTGGAGAAGCAGGAAGGGGTAGCGATCTGAAGGTTTGATCAGTTTGGTAAGCCTCTCAGTCACATCCTGAATGCGAGCTCCTGGTAAGCAGCACACCTTTCGAGATTCCAGGTCCGGACGGCAGATGGATGGCTCAGTCCCTCTTAGGAGGGAGTACCCGACCACCACCATCCGTCGTTTTCTTTTGGGGGTGGTGGCCGTGGAACCCCCATCCCTAGGACTAGGCATCCCATGCCTTCCAGTAGATGGTGTTCCCTTCCGTTTTCTTCCTTGTGAGGTCCCTTCCAAAGCATTTGGTACTGTAGAGCCTGTGGAGAGAGCCTGAAAGCGATTACTTACCTCTGTAGCATTGGGGGATTCCTGTGCTGCTCTTTTCCCCCTTCTAGAAGTTACATGCTGCCAGTTGTCTTCCTGGTCACATACTGCCCTCTCTGGCTCCTCCGCCTGCCGTGCTTGCAGGATTAAATGCTGCCTTCTATCAAGGAAGTCTTCATCCTCTCTGATCAAGTGTAGGGTCGACACTTGGGCCTATATTCAGAATTTTAGCTATACTTAATACATAATATTATTGAATGCAAGCTGCATAGCTCTTTCCTGGAATTAGCACACACAATGTTAATATTTTTATTATTACTATAAATGGTGTCTAACTCTAAACTTTTTGTGTCTCACACAGACAACATGCGAATTTGGCAGGCACCCTAAGTGGTCATGGATCTTGGGTATTAAATGTGGCATTTTGTCCAGATGATACTCATTTTGTTTCCAGGTATTTAGCATTTTAAGTTTCATCATAAAAGTCTACAAAAATTTAAATTTTCCATGTATAAATGAAGGTGAACCACACATAATATATAAATTAGAGTGTAACCTAATAAATTGTATTAATGAGTAAAAGATCTGTTATAAATAGAGCCAGACTGTGATAGCCTTACATTCATAGAATAGTGCCTTATACAGACAGTCCCATTGATATCAATGGGTCGTCTTGTGCAGTTGAGATACTTCTGAATATAAATAAGGGTATCTGGCCTTAAATTTTTGTAAAGTAACATGTAAGTGTACTTAACTAAATGCAAAGATACTGATTCTCAGAATGTTAATTTATGTTAATGATCGTAGCTTAGCTTCTCATTATTTGATGTTTCATCCCATTGTACTAGTCTGTCTGTCTGTCTTTTAGAGTTTCTGTTTGAGTCCATTTGTTCAAGAACTACTCCCAAACTGTAAGAGCTAGGGCCACCAAATTTGGTATGCAGCTTCCTCTTATCCTAATTTAAGCCATGGTCAGGGGTTGGATGTTTCTGGAAAACATGAAGTGCCAGGAATGAGACTGGTTTTGATAACATAGAAAGGGAAGGGGTAGATAGTGGAGGGATGTGAAAGGGAGTGACAGAGAAGAGTGACGTGATATTGAGAGTGACCACTGAGAGCAGCTGCAGCACAAAGAGAGTGGCCAACAGGGCTGGGACTCTGCCATCTTACTTGCCTCCAGACTGAGTGAGTAGCCCCCCCGCTCCAAACTTTCCCTCCCAGGATATGGGGGGTCCCATTGGAGGAGAGGACAGCACCCCAGAGAGCTTACAGGCCACTGGAGGGACTGCTGGAGGGGAGGCAGTTGGAGTGGGGCGAAGCCCCCAGAGCCTGGCCTCTCCCCAGACAACTTGCAGGATGTGTGTGGGGGACCCTCTGGAGAAGGGACAGTCCCCCCAGACAGCCTGCAGGCCATCCCCTAGAGTCTAGTCCCCCGTCCGAGACAGGCTGCAGGGCGTCAGGCCACAGAGAGGTCGTTGGAAGGCGGGGCCAGCCCACAAAGCGACACCCCCCGCAAACAGGCTGCAGGACATGTTGGCCACTGCCCCAAGCAAGGCCCAACTCCCCCTCCCCCACCCTCCAGCCCAAGTGGCTGCAAGTCAAGGGGGCAGCAGCAAACGGGGGGCTGCTCCCTCCCCCCCCGACAGGCTGCAGAGCCCCAACCCCTATCTGACAAATGTGCAGCTCCAGATTCCCCTTTCCTGGGAGGAGCCGCTGGCCAGGGAGCACTGTCACGACCCCCTGGGAGGAGCTACCACTGGAGCTGTGCCACAAGAAGCCCACTTCCTTGGCCCTTGTCCTGAGCCCCTTACCCTGAGTCATGCACCTCCCACCTGCCTTGACTTCTGCACACTCACCTTCTTTCCCGAGCCTCCCGACCTCCTGCCTCGAGGCCACCATTTCCAGCCTTGAGCCATCCCCACATCTCCCAATCCTCTGCCCTACACCACCCACCTCCTTCCTTTCCTTGCCCCTGAACCTCACTCAAGCCTTTATTCTCCTTCATTTAAAAAAAAATGCAATCATTGAAATAAAGCGTGCACACTTTTCATTTATTTTCCAAAAAACAAACCCCACAAAACCAAAAAAACCCACTTCAGTTACAGACCCGAGCAATGCCAGGTACATCTGCTAGTTGTAAAAATAATGATGTCTTGGTAATATCAACTTTTGGAACAGAACAGAGTAGTGAGTTTCCTCAGTTGTTCTTTACTTAGCTAATTTGCTTCAGAAAATTGGTGATTGCTGTTTAGAATATTCATTTATTTTTCATGCTGTTCATGTTAAAATATTTCAAATTGGAGTCAGTGTTTCTGTAGCCTGCTGGTAGATCTTCATTTGTTCTCTTTCTCTCTTAATTTTAAGGGTTTTTTTTATGCTGTGATATCAGGCCTTTATTTTTATAGTATAATCAAATTACTGCTAATTTAGATATTGATCTAAAATATTTTCCAGCTCTTCTGACAAAAGTGTGAAAGTTTGGGATGCTGTAACAAGAACCTGTGTTCATACCTTCTTTGATCATCAGGATCAGGTATATTAAGAAAGTAGAACATGTAAATCTAGATAAGAAGACTGGATATGAGAATTATACCAGAAATTGAATCCTTCTGGTCCAGGAACATGTGTGTCATGATTTTAGTTAGCCGGATGTCCACTTACCCTGGGGGTAGCCATGTTTCCGACGATCCCATAAATTTTGTTTACAGCCACCATTTCTGGTTCTGTGTTCTGTGCTGTTACTTAGCTCTAGTTTACCCCTAAATGTCTTCTATGGTCCCAGTAAGCCATGGAATGTTGGTAATGCTGCTAGACAATGTTGACCTCCTGTGGGTCAGCAAATTCTCTGGTTCAACACCAGTTAGGTCCTCGGGCTGCTGGATTAGAGAGGTTCAACCTGAAGTATGAAAATGTCACTTAGTGCTCTTTCATACAAATGTTTAGTTCACAGCAAGCTGGCATGTGAATCTGCTGCCAGACACCAGAAGTTCCCCAATGCACTTTAATCTACTCCAATTTTGAAACAGGCTATGATGGGGTCAAACCCTTGCTTGCTGCAAACTAAGGGTATGTCTACACTACAGTGCTATTTCAAATTAACTTAATTCGAAATAGTTCATTTCATAGAATCATAGGACTGGAAGGGACCTCGAGAGGTAGGATCAAGCTCTGTCTACACCATCCCTGACAGATGTCTATCTAACCTGTTCTTAAATATCTCCAGAGAGGGAGATTCCACCACCTCCCTTGGCAATTTATTCCAATATTTGACCACCCTGACAGTTAAGAATTTTTTCCTAATGTCCCCCTATTTCGAATTAAGTGTCTACACAGCACTTAATTCGAAATAGCTATTTCGAATTTGGTGTTACTCCTTGTAGAATGAGGTTTACCAAATTCGAAATAAGGACTCCGCTATTTTGAATTTATTTCGAAATAGCGGTTTGCCTGTGTAGACGCTATTAAAGTTAATTCGAAATAACTACTGTTATTTCGAATTAACTTTGTAGTGTAGACATACATAAGTGTTTGTATAAGTAGTTCTTACATTCTGTAATGGAAATGCATGGGCCAGGATTTCACCAGTGGCCTTGGGATACTGCCCTAACATTTTAAAGCTTTGAGAGTATTTGAGAATTGTTATCCTAGAATCTGTTTTTTTTTTTTTCCCTCCGAGCTCCCAGGCTGCCCTTTCCTAAGTAATACTGTTTAGAATCCTAATCAAGAGGCACACTCCAGGATTGAGAAATCGAATCTCATCAGTCTATCACCTCGTGGAATGAGGTGTACAGCTAGTTCGGATTAGGAAGCCTAATCCGAACCAGCTAGTCCGTGCCGCGTTTAGCCGTGCGGCACGGAGTCCGAACTAGCCGGCATTTAAAAATGGCGCCGGCCGGCTTCATGCAAATGAAGCCCGAGAAATTCAAATCCCGGGCTTCATTTGCAACTCCGTATGACTACATTATCCCCCCTAGTTCGAACTAGGGGGGTAGTGCAGACATATCCTAACTGAAACATAAATATTAGGGATGAAGCCATAGAACAGACGGAATAGCTTTAAATATGTCAGTTCCACTACTCATGTAAACTACTTGGTGACAACTAAAAATGTGAAATCTATAGCATTTTTAACTTGTTACCAATTTTAATGAATTATTGTTTGCATTCTTCTATTTGCAGGTCTGGGGAGTGAAATACAATGGAAATGGTTCCAAAATTGTATCTGTTGGAGATGACCAGGAAATCCATATCTATGACTGCCCAATTTAAATATGCTGTGTCAGGTGTATTTAATTTTTATTTACAGGTTTTCAGGAGTACTGCACTTCTTGTACATTGCCATTTAAACATGTGATGATGCATTATCACAATGCTGAGCTAAATTTTGGATTGCATTGATACAATAATCAATATATAAACCTTCAGCAGGAGATACCATTACATTTTTAAATTGAGGAAATAATTACTTTCACTTAAGCACTCTCTAGAAAAGTATACATTTGGAAATGTGTACTCATGTGAAGTAATTACTTATACTACCTCCCTATTCTCGCCTCTGAACTATATAAATAGACTTGAATCAAATTGTTGATTGTCAACCACAGCCAATTTAGGAAACAGTACAGGCTTTTATACCATCTCTCCATGTCAGATAGCAACCTTCATGTTAGTTGCTAACCAACTGTCCTGTAATGTGAGACAAGGTCATTTAAATGGAACATTCTCACACTTATGCATGGGTTGTTAACTTTAAATGACCCCCTCATCCCATCCCAAAACCTAAGTTTATATACTGGAAATGAAACATTAGTTGTAAAAAGTTTTAACCCATTTCTTAACATGGGGTCCTGTGAACTAAGATGCACAAAGAACATTTATTTAGTGTTCTAGTTAAAATTCAGTATTTGTTTTTTTTAAAGCCAAAGCAAGTTTTGAAGGGAAAGTTTCCTTTCATATCACTGTTTAGCTAACCTGTTACAGGAAACTCTTTAAATATGCTCTTCGTATAAGATACCTGACAGGTAAAAGCTATCAGTGTACAACATCTGAATTGTTTCAGCTTCAAATTTCTCTACCGCAGTAGGTTTTACGAGTTTCATTTCTACCTCCAATATAGAATGGTTATGTTAAGAATACTATTAACTTCTTGCATTTTATGGTTGATGCTATCATTTGCTATTTCTATAAAATAGTTTTAATTTCATACTTCCTCCTAGAATCATAGAATCAGAGAGCTGGAAAAGACCACAGAAGGTCATCAGGTCCAGCCCCCTGCCCAAGACAGGATCAATCCCAACTAAATCAACCCAGCCAGGGCTTTGTCAAGCTGAGACTTATAAACCACTAGGGATGGAGATTCCACCACATCCCTAGGTAACCCATTCCAGTGCTTCACCACCCTCCTAGTGAAATAGTTTTTCTTAATATCCCACCTAGACATCTCCCACTGTAATTTGAGACCATTGCTCCTTGTTCTGCCATCCGTCACTACTGTGAACAGCCTTTCTTTGTCCTCTTTGGAACCTCCCTTCAGGAAGTTGAAGGCTGCTATCAAATCCCCCTCACTCTTCCCTTCCGCAGACTAAAAATCCCTGTCTCTTCTCATAGGTCATGTGCTCCAGCCCCTTAATCGTTTTGGTTGCCCTCTGCTGGACCCTCTCCAATGTGTCCATATCCTTTTTGTAGTGAGGGGGCCCCCCAGAACTGGATATAATACTCCAGGTGTGGCCTCATCAAAGCCGAACAAAGGGAAATAATCACTTCTTTGGATCTGCTGGCAGTGCTCCTCCTAACATACCCTAACATGCCATTAACCCTTCTGGCTACAAGGGCATACTTTTGACTCATCTCCAGCTTCTCATCTGCTGTAATCCCCAGGTCCTTTTCTACAGAACTGCTACTTACCCATTTGGTCCCCAGCCTGTAACAATGCTTGGGATTCTTCTGTCCCAAGTGTAGGACTCTGCACTTATCCTTGTTAAACCTCATCAGATTTGTTTTGGCCCAATCCTCTATTCTGTCTAGGTCACTCTGGACCCTATCCCTGCTTTCCAGCATCTCTACCTTTCCCCCTAGCTTAGTGTTATCTGCGAACTTGCTGAGGGTGCAATTCAACCCTTAGACATGTCATTAATAAAGATGTTGAACAAAACAGGTCCTAAAACAGATCCTTGGGGTACGCCAGTAGAAATCGACTGCCAACCTGACATCAAGCTGTTGATCACTACCTGTTAGGCCCAACAGTTTAGCCAGCTTTATATCCATCTTATAGTCCATTTATCCAATCCATATTCCCTTAACTTGCTGGCAAGAATATTGAGGGAGACTGTATCAAAAACTTTGCTAAAGTCAAGGGCTACGTCTACACTGGCATGATTTTCCAGAAATGCTTTTAACAGAAAAGTTTTCCATTAAAAAGCATTTTCAGAAAAGTGCGTCTAGATTGGCAGGACGCTTTTCCGCAAAAGCACTTTTTGCGGAAAAGCATCCGTGGCCAATCTAGACATGCTTTTCCGCAAAAAAGCCCCGATCTCTATTTTCACGATCGGGGCTTTTTTGCGGAAAACAAATCTCAGCTGTCTATACCGGCCCTTTTGCGCAAAGTTTTTCGGAAAAAGACTTTTGCCCGAACAGGAGCAGCACAGGATCTTACATGAGATCGTCAGTGCTTTTGCGGAAATTCACTTGCCAGCTGTCTACAATGGCCGCTTTTCTGCAAAAGCAGATGATTTTGCGGAAAAACATGCCAGTCTAAACACAGCCAAGGTGTATCACATCCACTTACTTTCCCATATCCACAGAGCCAGTTACCTCATCATAGAAGCTGATCAGATTGTGTAGGCACGCTTTGCCCTTTGTGAATCCATCTTGACTATTTCTGATCCCTTTCCCCTCTTCCAAGTGATTTGAAATGGATTCCTTGAGGATCCCCTACATGATTTTTCCTGGGACTGAGGTAAGGCTGACTGGTCTGTAGTTCCCTGGCTTGTCCTTCTTCCCTTTTTTAAAGATGAACACTACATTTGCCTTTTTCCAGTCATCTGGGATTTCTCCCGATTTCCATGAGTTTTCAAAGATAATAGCCAAAGACTCTGCAATGACATTTGCCAACTCCCTCAGTACTCTGATACACAAATCCATGGGCCCGGATTTAATGCATGTTTAGCTTTTCTAAATAGTTCCTAACTTGTTTTTTCCCCACCAACAGCTGTCCACCTCCTTCCTATACTGCGTTGTCTAGTGCATTAGTGTGGGAGCTGACCTTGTCCAAGAAGACAGGCAAAGAAAGCATTGAGTTCTTTACCTTTTCCCACATCGTCTCTCACTAGGTTACCTCCCTCATCCAATAATGGCCCAACACCCTCTCTGATCACCCTCTTATTGCTAACATGCCTGTAGAAACCTTTCTTGTTATTTTTCACATCCCTTGCGAGCTGCAATTCCAATTGCCCTTTCACCTTCTCGGTAAGGCCCCTGCATTCTTGAGCAATATATTTATACTCCTCCCTAGTCGTTGGTCTAAGTTTCCACTTCTTGTAAACTTCCTTTCTGTGTTTAAGCTTACCCAGGGTGTCCCTGGTCACCTGATATATTTTCTTTTTTTGCATCACTCTGGGATGGTTTCTTTCTGTACCATAAGGCTTCTTTAAAATACTGCCAGCTTTCCTGGACTCCTTTTCCCCTTCATGTAAGCATCCCAGGGAACCCTGCCAATCAGTTATCTGAGGGAATCAAAGTCTGCTTTTCTGAATTTCAGAGTGTGTATTTTGCTATACTCTCCTTTCTTGCTTTGGTCAGGATCCTGAAATCTACCATCTAATGATCACTGCTTCCTAGGTTGTCACCCACCTCTACTTCCCCTATTAGTTCCTCCCTGTTCGTGAGATCAAGCTGCGCATGGTCCCTGGTCAATTCCTATCTCATGTCCTCTGGAAATGTGTGTATATATAATATGCTTTACCTGCCAGTTTTAGAACTTGCTGAGATATGCTTAACATTCCCAGGTAGCATGTGAGAAAGTTTCTAACTGTCCCTGTTAGCATTTAGTGTCAATGAATAAAAGCTATGAGTGGCAAAATATTTACAGAAAACATCTGTAATTTGCTTTTGCAGAAGTGTTACTCTTCCTTTCCCCTTCCGTAAGTTCAAGTCTTTATTCTGCTGGGGGAATCGTAAGACAGGTGTAGGCAAAATCCAGCCCACCAAGCCATTTGATCTGGCTCATGGCCACCCTGACATGCCCCTGGCCTAGACCTAGGAGAGGACTAAAGGGACCTTTTCTGCCTGAAGCCCTGCCCTTTCTGGGGGCAAAGCCAGCCCATTACCACTATCTACAATGCATGAAGTGCCCACCCCTGTTGTAAGATCAGCACTTTCCTTTCCAAAGTTAGGCATTCCTTTAGTGAAAAAAGGTAATACAACTGAGGCAGGGAATTATGGTACAGAAATTTCACATAGGGTGGGATATCCCTTTTATACCAGCTCATGTCCCTATGTTTTCATGCACACAGCAGGATGAAGAGTACCATTTCAGGTCTTGCTGATTCTCTGTACACCCTTGGACAGAACCATATGCTACTACAAGCACACTCAGAGCTCTATATAAGTAAAAACCAGCTAGCTCCTTTGAACTTAAGCCTGGCTGTTAGTCTGGGATTTCAAAATTACGTACTAGGCCCTAGCAGTAAATGTAATAGATATCAATGGTATTTGAAATGTGATATAGAAAGCATCCATTTGTCCATTCTGCTACAATATATATTTACACTGTGTAAATCAGTCTAGGATTTCTCACAACTACTTGGCTACGTCTAGATTGACATGATTTTCTGCAAATGCTTTTAATGGAAATTTGTCCACTCATTATTGAAGGTAGCATGAGATAGAGGGAATTGGGGAACTCTCAGGGCAAACTGTTTCCAGTGGGTCTAGCACATGCTTTGCTGAAAAGAGCTGAATTCTGGCTGTTACTCCCTCTATAGTTACTTAATTTAAGTAGACCTATCCTTTTTCCAATTAAGCACATTAATTTAGAAAGCATTTCAGAATTGACACCACTTAGACTAAATGTACTCATAAGGAATTATATTGGTAAAAAGCTTTTTCCTTGTAGACACTGACAAACTCCTACTTTGAGTTTTTGCTACTTAACCATACTGAATGCTAGATCATAAGACAGATGAAATTTGAAAAGCTTGGTTTGCATAGCTGTACGTTTGCCCACAATTCATTATACTTATGGAAACTGCTGAGACAGAAAAGGAGTATTGTTGCACTAACCTGCTTATTCAATCTAACTTTGGTAACAGAGGCTTTATCTACACTGGCAAATGAGACAAGCTTTTGATGTTCATAGGTTCTCATGACTGACAAAAGCTTTGCCATGGCAAATACCAGGATAAACAGTGCTTTGCAAGAATGCTCTCCTGCTGATGAATCAAATGCCACTGGTGTATGGGGAGAGGGATTGTCAAGAGTGCTGACAGTGTACCCGCTGCCTGACTCTAGCAAAACAGCTCTGTAGTGTAGACATACCCAAAGAGCTAGATAGGCTCAGCTAATATTGGGTTCTAGGAACTAAAGAGTTAGACCTCTTCAATTCAGGCATAATGAGGAAAAAGGCAGAAGAAGATTGGACTTTACATAGATTTCTGCTTGAACGTAAAATGTTTATTATAGGAAAAACTAATTTTACAGTATGAAAAATATTTACATAACATGCTAAGCTGGTATTGCAAGAGTCTTATCTAAATAATATTGTTGAAGTGACTGCTTTCTTGCGTGATACTTCACTAAAGCTGTGGACCTTTAAAGAAACTTAGATATGCACAATTCTCAGCTACATAGCTGGGAAATATTAAGTTAAGTAAAGACTATGAATACTTAAATATGAATTGGTTACAAACATAGGGACAACGCAGCAACTCAATTTGCTGAAGACCAAAACCAGAAATAATGTGGCTAATACAGCCATACAGTTTTCAGTGTGAAAATTTACATTCCAGATTACATCCATTCTATTTCATTTTAAGATGTTTGGCATTGCACTCCTGTTCTGGGACCTTCATCTTCTTCATATGCTTCTCTACTATTACGATAAGTTTGCTCTCTTGGATCAAACTCTGTAAGTTCTACCTGATCCATGTCATCTGTAATCATGACTTCTTCTCTTGGAGGAAGCAAAGCTTCCAATATAGAAAGTTTCTCCCTGGGAAGCCACTGATGTTCTGGAAACATGACCTAAAATAAAAATGTTTTCCTCATAAGTAATGGAATATTCAAGGCAAGGAATTAAAATATGGTGGTGAATAAAAAGCAGTGACCTTACCATAAACTGTATAATTAAATAACCTTTGTCCAGTGGAGACTTATAGATAGGCATCCCTTCATTAAGGATACATTTTAAGTCACCATGCTTTATCACTTCACCTGTCCACAAAAAGATGAGTCATTGTACATTTTGATATTTTTGCATTTGGATTTAGAGCCATAAAAGCAAAGCATTGTAATAGAAATCATTCCTGGGTTTACAAATGTTTCACCATTGCTGTGAAAGCCCGTACAAAAAAAGAGGGACAGCTGATTATGCACAAAGTAAAATGGAAAAAAAACCAAAGTCTGTTCTCCCATCTTAGATCCTTAAAAAATAGGTGTAAATCCAAGTGGGAGAGCTGAAGTTGGTTTCCCTGTGTTTGCTTCTTGGTTCTTTTACTTCAATTTCTAACTTCTGTCAAAATTGTAAAACCAGGATTTTATAATACAGTGTCAGGCAAGCTCATCTACAAGCCACTCCTCCTGTAATAGATGAAGCCAGCAAGGTGGAGTTTGAGATAGAATAGAAGGATGAGCTGGGTTGACTAATTTCTAAAATCCCATTCCTATAATAAATATAGTGGAATCTTAAAACAGCGTAAGTGTGACTTGCCAACTAACATGCCATTTCAAAAAAACAAAACAACTCTGAAATCCTACCTGGTCTAGAAGTTATAACAAGGACTCTATTATCCAATGTTTCAATGGTCCTTTTGAAGCCACATAAAGCCTCAGAGAGATGAATTTTCATTTTCATAATTAAATCATGTCCTCGTCTCTGAAAGACACCATGATCTTTCTGATCCAACACAATTATAACATCACCAGGTTCCAGGTCAGGTTCCTGATCACCTTCTCCATGAAATACTAACTTTTGCCCATCTTTCATACCTGTAAAAAAGGTAATTTACATTAATAGGCTTTCTCTGTATGTGTTTTATTAGACCCCAATACTGTAACATATGTTTTAAGAGCACACTAGAACTCACTTTAACAACTCAATTTCTGGGCCATAAATCTGTACACTGCAAAGATTTACACTAAATTTGAGATTATTTTAAAGTATTCTTACCTTTATCAATGTGAACTTCTATGATCTTTTTCTCTCTAACAACTTTACATCCATTGCATGTGTCACATCTGTCCTTTGGGTTTATTCGTTCACCTTGGCCTTTGCATTCTGAGCACATCGTTTGAATTTGCTGTACCATGCCAGGTCCAATCTGCTGAACAAGAACCTGCATTCCTCTTCCTTTGCAAATGGGACATTTTTCTATTGCTCCTTTCTTTCCACCATATCCTTGAGGAAGAAAATCTGAGGTCAACACCTTAGAGAAAACTAGTCATTCAATACCATTCTGGATTACCAAACAACGAATAGTCCTGTAGCACCTAAGGGTTCATCTAGACTACGCAGAATGGTCCATATCTTCTTCCAATCGCACTTTCGAAAGCAGAGCTTTCAAAAGTGAAAGTAGTTTTTTCGGCAACCCTCCCCCTTTGTTGAAAAGCAGCGTAAACCTCAAAAAATGAGCTCTGCTTTTGAAAGTACGATCAGAAGATATGCAAATTCCTTTCGACCTACCATTTTGTTTAGTCTATGCCCACGAAAGCTCATGATACCATCTACATTTTTTGTTTGTCTCTAAGGTGCTGCAGGACTATTTAGTTTAATTTTTTTCAATTACAGACTTATATGGCTTCCCCTCTGAAAATTTTGGAAGAAGACTGCTTGAATCCTACTACATAGCATGAAGGGGGAAGTTTACTTTTGGGAAAACTTGAATGAGTTTTCCCCAAACTACCAAATTCATAGTTTACACGTCCCTTTCCCATGTGTTACCACCTGTTAAATCTGATACAATTTATCACACACTTAATTGCCCCCCCTCCTCCTCCTGGTCCCTTCACATTTTAGCAATTTTGAATGATCGGTTTATTTATCATTTCTTGGAAATGAAGCCATTTAGCGTCCCAGCAACGTTCTAAAACAAAGCTGTCTGCTAGAATTACATAAAAATGTTGTGTCTTAACATGAAGATTTATGCTAGTTGTCAATGCCAAACAATTATTTAAGCCTATGATGTTTAATAGACATAAAAGATTTTAAGAACATACATATTTAATGTACTATAGAATTTACCCTAGTTCCCTAAGAAATTGAGACAGGATGCTAAGAGATCTAGGTTCTGTTCACTAATATACAATATAGCCACTGTCTTACTTGAAATAAATGGTCTTATTCCTAAGTAATGTAAAACAGGCTTTCAGGCACTTTCAGTGATTGCTAGTGAAGGGCTCAAGAGAGATTCATGTAGTCACTTGGTGCTTCTTTCCATGTCCATACTTTGAAAAACTGAATTTATTATATGCACTCATACCTTTACACTTTTCACAGATTACATTCTTTTGCAGTGCCAACTTCTTTGTAACTCCATTATATAAGTCTTCAAGAGAGACACTCAATTGATGCACAACATTCTTGCCTTCAAGGAAAAAAGTTTAGAAATATTAAAAGGCCTTTACAAGCATTTTTATGGCAATTTTATTATTACAGGATCTCTAAACAGACTGTTTGTTAATGCGTTCAGTCTGAAAAATGTGTTACAAATTTTAAAAGCTAAATTCAACACTGGGGCAAGCAAAGTCAACTTCCATTGAATTGCATAAGAACTTAGCCATAAGTTAGGCAACCATTAATCTACAAATGGAGAACTGACAGCAGCAAGACATTAGAGCCTGTGTCCCTTTAGAAGTATTTTAATACTAAACCTGCCTTCATGTTTCCTTTTCAGTTTGTGGCAATTTTTAAAAGTTTCTTCTCTATTACTAAATCCACAGAAATGGGGGATAGAAATATATAGTTTCTATAAATGCCTATCTAGACATAGATAGAAACCAACTATAGAAAGCATGCCATCAAAAGCCCACCAAAAATTCTTAGGTTTTAAATTTTATTCCTCCTATCACATCCCATCTTTGATTATGGTATTACATGTAACACCTCAAAGTGTTATTTTCAAGTCAATAGTTCTTTAAGCAATTTGTCCAATTTGTATCAGCAAATCAGTTTCAGATCTAGAAGCAGGTTCTCATTCCCATTCCTCTATTCTAGCCACTAATAGTCTCTCTTCTCTAGATTATTCGTGTCCCATTTAACAGATCAATGTTAGCTACAGCTAGATTGTGGTTTTTTAGTATCAGCTACATGTTAAAAATATTTCTATAATCCACAGATCACCTCATACTTTACATGCTGTTGCTAATAATATCGACACGATGTGTTAATAAAAATAAGCAATATTGCAGCACAGTTAGGTGTCTTACGCATTAATGCATGGTAAATTTCTAGAACTTCTCTTTAAAACTATGTACCTCTTCTCTCTCTATTCATTCGGCCTCCACCACCAAAGAACATGTCAAAGATGTCCATGGGTGAAGAGAAGTTGCTGCCACCCAAGCCTCCTTCTTTAATAGCCTGCTCCCCACCCTGGTCATAGATGTCCCTTTTCTTTGGATCCGACAGAACTTCATAAGCCTGGGATATGAGTTTAAACTGAGCAACCATGACCAATGGTAATGACCTCAATCTCAAGAAAATTTGAACTTCAACAAGGTTTTTCGGCACAACTTGTAATCCTTTTGTGGCAGAAAGCTGTCAACAGAAAGTTAAAATGTATAGATGCTTCTGAAATATGTTTTTGCAATATTTTCCCAGCACACGATTTCTATGCTGCACAAAGATGGTAAACACATTACAACAAAGTCCCATCAAGCCTTCTCAACTGCTTGCCACATACAGCTAAACATTGTATGGGTGTTTCCATTGTAGTTTTATTACAGAAAACTGACATACTGCCCTGTGATACTAACGTCACTCACCACTGACCAATAGCCACCTCTGGGATGATGTGATAACAGCAATGAAGGGTTTTATATGCCATTAAAACTGCAGGATGTGTTTTATGGAAAATCAGAGGCATTTCACTAACATTAAGCGGTCAAAAATGTTATGTCTTATGTAGAAGTGGACATCTCTCTTGGTATTAAAAGAAACTTTATATATGAATCCAGACTTTCAGTTCTCCTATTATACAACAGGTTGAAGACAAAATGACAGGAACCATTTTAAACTTTTTTCTAGTGACCTGACTCATCAGTTCCGTTGACTATGGATTTTATGACTTGTGCTCCTCATCATCTGATGTAGTCACCTGCATTTCTTTTCCTGTGACCAAGACTCCATTGTAAGGCAGTTAAGAGTTCCTGAGAGACTAATCTTGCATTTTTTGACATGAGGTTAATTTCCCAGAAGAAATTACAACTGACCATTTGTGAAAAAGTTTTTTTTTAATCCACTGTGGAGCCAGAGATGTTACATTACAATGGTACATTGATAAAATGGCAATAATCCTAAAATGGAAGATACAGCAGACGGCATTAGCTACATGATACAGTCTAGACCAAGGATAGGCAAAATAAGGCCCCCCAGACTGAATATGACCTGCCAAATCACTGTTCTGTGGCCCAACAGGAACCTCCGGCAGGCCCTTTGCCTTCTGTGGCCCCTACACTGCTCAAAATGGCTGGCTGCAGGGAGGGGCTACATGTTCTCCATGCACTGCCCCCACCTCTAGCACAATTTTATAGCTTCCATTGGGCAGAAGCCCTCCCGCCCATGGGCATATAGTGCACAGAAAACACATGGCCCCTGCAGCCAGCTATTCTGAGCAGCATGTAGCAGCGGATACCCATCAAAAATTGCCATTTTTTATTATTGCCCCAGGCTAGACCCAATCTGCTCCTTCAATTTTTGTTCTGCAATAGGGATGGGAACTAGGGATGTTAAGGAGCAGTTATTTCACTAGTTGAGTAGTCGACAATTTTTATTGACTATATTAGCTGAAAAAGGAAGGCACTCAGTCTCAGCTTGCGCCAGGTCTGGGACCTACCCCCACTGTAGCTCTACAGTTTAAATCATAGAATATTAGAACACAGAATATTAGGACCTCAAGAGGGCATTGAGTCCAGTCCCCCCCTCTCACAGCAGGACTACGCACTATGTAGATCGGGGTGGGCAATAATTTTTAAAATGGGGTCACCCGGAAGGGACTGGGCCAGGAGACTTCTTGTGATTCCCCTCGTCGTCCCCCCCTCCCCGATGGGCCTGGGGTGGGAGAGCACAAGAAGTCTTCCCTCTGCCTCCCCTGTTTACCCCCATCCCCCCAGAGAAATGCCAGCTGTTTTAAAACAGCTGGCAGTTCCCTTGAGGCACCTAGTAGGAGGAGACCTCATGCACCCTCCCTAACCCCAGGCCAATTAGGGCTTGGGGACTAGGGAGCACAGTCTCCTTGCCCCTGCACGATTGTGTGGCAGCTAGACACATGCCAACTAGTTTAAAACAGCTGGCATGTCTCTAGCCAAGGGATGGGCAAAGGGCCCTCTGCAGGTCAGATCCGGCCTGCAAAGTCGGTGCTTCACTTTAGATTTAAATAGCATGAATAAAACACCATTTATTTCATAACTATAAACACCTGATTTTAATTTTATGTATCGCATAATTTAAAAATAAACTGTATCTCAGAGTGTGTAAGTAAGGGCTAGGGATAGCAAGTGATGGACAGGAGGAGAATAGAGAGGGCGGGGCTTCAAGGACGGGGTGGGACGGTAGATCTTCGCCTGTTCTGAGATTTAAAAAGTGATCTTGGGAGTAAAAAGGTTGGAGACCACTGTCCTGGGCAATTATTTCAGTGTTTAACCATCCCAATATCCAATCTAAACTTCCCTTTCTGCAATTTAGGCTCATTGCTTCTTGTCCTATCAGAAGCCAAGAACGACTTTTCTCCCTCCTCCCTGTAACACCCTTTTAGATACTTGAAAACCACTATCATGTCCCCTTCTCAGTCTTCTCTTTTCTAAGCTAAACAAGCCCAATTCTTTCAGTCTTTCCTCACAGATCTTGTTTTCTAGACCTTTAAAATCATTTTTGTTGCTCTTCTCAGGACCTTCTCCAATTACTCCACATTGTTCTTGAAATGCGGTGCCCAGAACGAGACAAAACACTCCAAAGGATGCCTCATCAGCACAGAGTAGAGTACAGCTACTGTGTAGTAGGAAAATGCAGAGCCACAGTGGGAAGGGAACCAGAAGGAAGCTGGGCTTGCTCAGTCCTGGCTCATGTGTGTCCAGCAGCCTGTCTGGGGTGGGGGGGTCCCAGCGTGCAGCAGCCCCTCTCCCAACACACACACAGACAAGAGTTGCTGTCAGAGCAGCCGCTGCCCACCATGGACGGACTGCTGCTAGAGCCATGAGCAGAGGTTGTTTCATGGCAGTCTTCCTTCACCTCCCAACCCCATGCTCCTGCCTCTTGATAGAGGCAGCATTGTGTGAGGGGGTGGCACTGTGGAGACAGCACTGGAGGGAACCGGCTTTTAAGATGGCTCCTTCGGCACCAGCTTCTGATACAGAGGCAGCAAGGGGGGAAATGCGAGTCAACTGACTTGACTAACCAATAAATCTAGGCTTATCAGTTAATCTAGTCAGTTACTTGCATTCTCCCGCTTGCTGCCTCTGGATCAGCACTGAACCAGTGATGCCACTCCCCCTCCCACGCTGACGCAGGGGATGGAAAGGAGGCTGCCATGAAGTAGCCTCTGCCCACAGCGGTGCCAGTGCTGGGCTCAGACAGTGGCTCTGGCAGCAGCCCCTGTTGGCGATGGGTCCCAGACCTCTACCCCACCAGTAGCCTTTGTTCACAGGGAGCTCAAACCCCCATGGACAGGGACTGCTGCCACCCTGTGCTGCTGCCTCAGAGGCAGCAGCGCAGGATATTAGGGGGATCCCTAGTAGTTGGGCAGGATTAAACTGGCCCCCAGGGCTGCAGAGTAGTTGACTAATTGCTATTCAATTAATCAATAGCTAATATCCCTATTCTAAATGCTGCTAGACTAGACTAGAGATACTGATTTCATTTATGCTCTTTTGTTAAGCCAGTTTCCAGAAGCATCTCTAAATTCATAAGCATGGGTCTATAGCTAGTTTTCAGAGCATATAACTGCACTGCTGTTGTCATCTCATCAGATACTGGTTGAAAAAGATGCTTTCCTTTTGGACGATCCATAAATATTTTCTATTGTAATGAGAGCTGACATAGCTCCCTCTGTACAATTAAGTCTCGTTTTTACATCTTTTCCTTGTGCACTTCCATGCTGTTGCCACCACAAGCAGAGCCCTACCAACTATAGCCTTACAATACTACTAGCAGCTACCAGCATTACATGAACCAACCCATACAGAACTTCAACTGCTGCATTGGGGTAATTAAATGATCAAAGCAGTCATTTTGAGTCTTGTTTACAACAGAATACGGATTAACCGAATTTCTTAGCAAGATAATAGGATCAACAATTCCCATGACGTGCCAATCTACTTCCACTTTTTCCAAGTTGTGACAGCTCAGTTAGCATATGAAATTATACGCTTCAAACGGCCGGAGTAAAAAAGTTCTCTCAAAAGGACCTACAAGATATAGTATGCTGAACTGTGATTACCCTTTACTGCACTACGAACACTACATTCATTAAGTGTAGAACAAAGCTTGGCCCTAGAATTATCTAGAGACTTTTCACCACACTTCCAGCTCTGCAAGACC